TCCGCAGAAAAATTATTTGCATTTGTTTATATTGCACCAAATTAAGGGTCCTCAAACTATGGGCCTTGGGCCGGATGCATGCAATGAACATTTGTGTTGCTGCAGAGAGTCTCCCCCTTCGGGGTCTTTTTGTGTAGGTAGGAGGGGAGCAGAAATTCCAACTTGGGGTCTGCTTCAGCCTCCTGGTGGGGGGCTTTGGGCAAAGGCTGGAGGGAAGGGCCGCTGGTGGAGAAGAGCCGGAGGGCCTCGCTCCAGTGGGACTGCATCATGGCCTGGAACTGGCTGACCATCTCATCCCGCTGAGCCTCCGGGTGCCAGTGCCTGGCCTTGCACTCCTGCAGGTCTTCCCTCTGCTTGGAAAGCCTATGCTCATAGTCCTCAGTGAGGTGCTTCTGCTGAGCCTCCTTCTCGGTCAGATCCAATTTGAACTGAGCCAGCTGTTTTGCCAACTCTTTTCTTGTGGTGACGGCTTAGCTCCAACAACTGCTTCCTATTGGAGCCCTAAGGAGTCCTGTTGGGCAGGCGAGGAGTGGCTGGGAGGGGAGGGGTGAGTAGAGGCCAGCGAGGGACCCCTCGATGTGAGTGACAGTGAGTTGGCCACACCCATCTAGTCACATGACGACCTAGCCATGCCCACCCAGCCGGTCATTAGGCAGATCATATTAGTGGTCCGCGGGATTTAAAATTATGACTTGACTGGTCCTTGAGGTCCGAAAGGTTGGTGACCCCTGGTCTAAAGCACCTGAGGGAGAGACAAGAAGCAATGGGTGAAAGCTCAAGAATCTGAAATTAAGGAGAAATTTCCTGACAGTGAGAACAATTAATCAATGGAAGAGCTTGCTTCCTGAAGTTGTTGGTACTCCATCCCTGGAAGTCTTCCAAGAAAAAGACTGGACAGCTATTTGTCTGGGATACAATAAGGTCTCCTGACTTGGCCAGGAGATTGGATTAGAAGACCTTCAGCCCTCGGATTCTACAATTCTACCAGGATGATTATGATGACGTTTAGGGCAGGGGTGGGATTCTACCAGTTCGCACCTATTCGCTAGAACTGGTTGTTAACATTTTAAGCAGTTTGGAGAACTGGTTGTTAGAAGAAATTACTGGCCTAATCCTGTAAGGAAAGCAGGAAGGAAACATTCTGGTGTTGCTTATAGAAACTGCCTCTCCGTTAACCCTTATTACATTCTTGACAGGACTAGACTTCCTGTCTCAGGAACTTCCTCTGGAGTTATTTTCCCCTCCTTTGCTGGTACTTTGCTTGCGTGGAGTGAAAATTCAAAGTTACAATGGCACTGAAAAAAGTGTCTTATGACCATTTTTCACACTTACGACTGTTGCAGCATCCCCACGGTTATGAGAGGCCAGGTGAGGAGATGCGTGCCTCAATGCGAGTGATATTGAGTTGGCCACACCTAGCCAATAACATGACCACCAAGCCATGTCCACCCAGTCACATGACCACCAAGCCACGCCCACCATCTAAGCTACGCCCACAGAACTGGTTGTTAAAAATTTGAATCCCACCCCTGGTTTAGGGTGACCGTTGCAGCATCCCCAGGGTCATGTGATCAAAATTTGGATGCCTGGCAACTGGCTCATATTTATGACGGTGGCAGTGTCCTAGTGTCACGTGATTCTGTTTTGTGACCTTCTGACAAGTAACATCAATGGGGAATCCAGATTCACTTGACAACTGTATTCAGTGGTGGGATTCAAATTTGTTTACTACTGGTTCTGTGGGCGTGGCTTGGTTGGCGTAGCAGGGGAAGGATATGCAAAATCCCCATTCCCTCCCCACCCCACTAACCTGCTTTCCAGCTCCGTTCTCCTGTGCAGGGCAACGAAAGAAGACCCAGCCAATCAGCTGGGACTTGGGAGGCGGAGAATAGATAGGGGTGGGGCCAGTCAGAGGTGGTATTTGCTGATTCTCTGAACTACTCAAAATTTCCACTACCGGTTCTCCAGAACTGGTCAGAACCTACTGAATACCACCTCTGACTGAATTACTAATTTAACAAATGCTCTGATTCACTTAACAACGGTATCAAGAAAGGTCATAGAATGGGACAAAATTCCCATTAACATAGGTCTCACTTAGCAACAGAAATTTTGGGCTCAATTGTGGTTGTAAGTCAAGGATTACTTGTACTTCAGGAGGGAATAAACACAGATTATCTTATTTAAGGAAGTTATCCATTTAGACCGGCTTCATCTTTTGCCTCAGTAATTCTCCAGCGCCTGACAGCAAGTCTTCTCCATGACCTGCTAGTAATGGAAAATGCAGAGCGTGAGCCCAATACGGACAAAGACCTTGCCTTCCACCCGTAAAGCTTCTCCCTGGCCCATTTTCCAATCTCAGCATAGGTCAAAGGCACTCATCCATTTCTATAGGCTGAGCTTTTGATGTGTTTTTTATGCTTAAGGCTGTAGTGTTTGTATAGGGACAACAATTGTGTTGGATACAATGGGTTGGGGGGGGCTGCTGCAGAAAACTCATGGCTGAGCCTTTCCCCTCTCAGCGGGATTGCTTGAGAAGGGAGATTGTACGGACCGTGGATAATATCTTTTAATGGGAATCACAGAATTGGATGAGCTGTTTTGGCCACCACGTCCGACCATCCGTGTTTCAAAATAATTCACACTCTTTCCAGGGTGGGATTAACTGGTGTTGAAAATGTTTCTTTAAAGAAGCTGCATAAGTTCTTAGGTTTGTAACTTCTCATTGTTAGAAACATAAATATGCAGTCAATCCTCATTATTCGTGGTAGGTATGCTTTTATAAGGTCACCATGGACACTGATTTAGCAAAATATTCAACCATTGTTCCTAGAAAATACAGGACATTAGTTTATGGAACGAGAACTGAAACAAGAAGGCAGAGCATTGTTCAGCCTTAGGAGGCATCAAACAACTCAAATGTTCCCAATGTGTCCACAAACAGTTGTGAAAGTACTGCAAGTCTTAATTTTGGGGTCACAAATAAATGTTACTGAGTGAGCAAACCCACAAACATGGACTTCATGAATAGTGAAGATTGACTGTACATGTCTTTGGGTCTCTTTTTTCTGAACGATTTCTTTCTTTAGTTTTGAAAGATAAATGCCATGGATGTTATAGAAAAATTCAGCATCCTTGTTCATTGAGTAAATCAATAATTTCATTATGCTATTTTTTTTTAATAAAATGAAGTTCTGGTTTCCCAAGGTGCCTGCACTTGAAAAAAAAAATCAAAATTACACATTTAGTTGAGTATTTCTTCAGTACAATTTTTGAGCCAGTTTTGTAATAATTACCATGACATTCAATCACAATTAATTTCCATGACATGCTTTATCAAATGCTTTGCTGAACTTAAGGTATATTATAGCTTAGAGCACACCCAGAATCCATTCATGAAGCTCTCTGATTTAAAAAAAGAGAAAGAGTAAGATTCTCCTTTACAATTCCATGCTGACTTCTGGTAATTACTTCATTGATTTCAATGTGCTTACAGATAAATCTCTTTATGAATGTACCTAGGAACTTCTCAGTTACTGATGTCCAATTGAATACTTTGTGTTTGTTGGATCTTCCTTTTTCCCTCTTTTTGAAAATAGAATCAATATTTGCTCTCTTAGCCACTTCAAAAAAATCCTTCAGGATTTGCATAAGATCATTTACAAGGTTTGGCCAAACCCAGTTTGTTCACTTCTGGAAGATGCCATTCATCCGGTCCTGGATAGTGGATCCCATTTAAAATAAAGACTTTTAACATTTTCTGATCTGGTTTCTATCAGGCTGAATGAAGCTGCAGTCCTGCTCCTTCACAATTTCTTGGTGGAAGACAATACGTTTTCTTGTGACAGAAAATGGATCCAAAAGAGGAGCTTTGCATGTTAGCATTGCCTTTCCCCTCCCTTGAGCTGTTGGCATTATAATTCTTCTTCTTCTCCTTCTCCTTCTCCTTCTCCTCCTTCTCCTTCTTCTTCCAACTTGCTCGTATTAGAAGAAGTTCTTTTTATTCCTCCACCATTCTCATTCTGTGGGTTCACAATTCTGGGCTTCTCCTCAGCGACCTGACTCTCTCCGATGGCCATAGATTAGAATATACTTTTTGTTTCAGAATAAGAGAGTTGGAAGGGACCTTAGAGGTCATCCAGTCCAACCCCCTGCTCAAGCAGGAGACTCCACACCATTTCTGACAGTCTCTTCTTGAAAAGCTTCCAGGGATGAAGCTCCCGCAACTTCCGAAGGCAACTTCTGTTCCACTGATGGATTGTTCTCACTGTCAGAAACTGTGTCTCGCTGTTTGTTTTCCAGTTCTTCCCTAAGCTCTTTGGGTAGCTTCTTCTCTTCCTTTCCCCTCAGAACAATTGGGCTTTCAACAACTCCAACTGCTCCCCTCACAGCCCTTGTCTCCTTTTCCCCGTTAATTTTCTCTTGCTATGAGGCAAGTTTATGAAAACCGCTTTCTGAAGTCCAAGATGGGGGTCTCGCTTCGTTCGTTGCCCTTAAAATCCTGAAGTTGGAGTCATTTATTTTTTTGCTTCAAATAAAGACGCTTCTTTTCCACGCGGCTTTGGCTTCCCCTCAGAAAAGGCGCGCGGGTGTGTGTGTGTGTGTGGGGGGGGTGAGGGTGGCGGCCTTGCTCCTTATCGGAGGCGCGCACGGGGAAGGCCGAAATCCACCCTCAGACGGCGGAGCCGGGGGCTGGGCGGGTGGCGTCCGACGGCCTTCTCGGGGGCGCGCCCGTTGGAGAAGCACGGCGGGCGGCCGCAACGGAAGAGAGAGAGAGAGAGAGGGGCGCGGCGCTTGAGGCGACGGACGGAGCGGGGCTTGGGAGGACGCGGCGTCTCCCCTCAGCCTCACATCGGAGAATTGAACCGGCCGGCCGGCTCCGCGGCTCCTTCCCCGGGCGCTTCGCCTCCGCGCTCTCCCCGTCCACGGGGCAGGCTGGCAAAAAGGCGGCCGCCCGTTTGCTTGCCCGCCCGCCGCTCCCTCGAAGTTGGACGCGCGCCATGGACAGCTCCGCCGTGCCGGAGAACCGCACGGCCGCTGGGCACCTGCTGCTGCTGCTGCCGCCTTTCGCCGGGAACGCGACGCCCGAGCCCTCCGGTCCCGGTGCCGTCCCGGCTCTTTCGGCGGCGCCGCCGCCGCCGGGCTTGGCCCCTTTGGAGAGCGGCGTCGAGGCTCCCTTCTGGGACGGGAGGCTGAACCACGGGCTGAGCGTCTTCGTGGGGCTGGCGCTGGGGGTGACCATGCTGGGCCTGGGCTGCACGGTGGAGCTGAGCCAGCTGGGCGCGCAGCTGAGGCGGCCGCTGGGCTTGTGGCTGGCGCTGCTCTGCCAGTTCGGGCTGATGCCCCTCTTGGCTTTCCTGCTGGCCCTCCTCTTCGCCCTCGACGAGGTGGCCGCCGTGGCCGTCCTGCTCTGCGGCTGCTGCCCCGGAGGGAACCTCTCCAACCTCATGTCCTTCCTGGTCGACGGAGACATGAACCTCAGGTAGGCCGGCCGCGGGAGGCGGAGAGGAGAACCGGGGGGGGCGGCTGGCTTGGGTGCCCGTCGCCGAGAGCGGACGAGGTGCTTCCTCGGGTGCTCGGGTGGCCTAGAGGGGTGGAGCTGTCGCCTCAACAATCAGGAGGCTCGTGAGTTCGATCCCAGGTTATACTTGGCATGGACTCTCCTGCTTGCTCGAGCAGGGGGGTTGGACTAGATGGCCTCCTAGGTTCCTTTCCAACATAACATTCTGTTATTCTGAGCAGGGGGTTCGGCTAGACGGCCTCCAAGATCCTTTCCAAGATCCTTTCCAACTCCTGTTATTCCGTAAGGGTCGCTTGCTTGAGCACAGGGGATCGAGCTAGATGACCTCTGAGGTCCCCTCCAACTC